TCAGAGTCCGACAGGACGGCCTGAGGGTAGGGGAGGAAGGCAGAAGGAGGCCAGAGTTAGGAACCGCGGGGTTAGCTGGACAAAGAGGCCCAGACTAGGCTGGGGGCCGCCTCATCCCAAATGATCCCTCCTACAAGAAGCCTTCCTGATTTCACCTCCTCCACTAGTTCAGTTCTCAGCTCGCAGCTGAGGCCTCCGATTTATTGCGAAGACATCATTTGGCGTCAGGTGGGCTCCGGAAGGGCCGTGCCTCCCCTCTGAGACTGGGGGCTGCCCAGGGCAGGGGCCGAGTGAGTTAGCAGGGGTGCTGAGCAGCTACAGCCTGGGCCCTAGGCCCCCACCCATTTGCAGTTCAGTCCCAGGCCACCAAAAGGCGTGGTGGGGGAGCCCGGGACCGCCTGGCAGGGCCCTGTCTTCCCACCTCTCTGGGCTCACACCTGTGCCAGGTCCCTTAGGGTCTGCTGTAGCCCCTCTCCGTCCTCTGTCTCCAGGGCCGCCTGCTCCTGTAGCCGCAGGGATTCCTGGAGTGCGGTTAGGGAGACAAAGGGTGGTCCAGGTTCTGTCTTATCTGAAACCTCCCCTTCCCCTCCCTCCCTGGCCCACCACTGACCAGGTGGCCTCTGAAGCCATGTCCATAGGCCAGCCACCTGATAGACCTCACAGCAGGCCCGAGGCCCTCGCTGAACAGTCCAGGCCCAAAGAAGAGCTGTGTCCTGCCCCAGGTCACACAGTCGATTGGAGGAGAGCCGAACCTAGAACCCAGGCCAGGCCCCACACAGAGGGGTGACCAAACCAGGCCGTACCCTGGAGTAGTGAGTGTCCCACTGGCAGGGGAGGGGGAGCAGCTGGGTTGCCCGAGGCAGCATCTGGACCTGGAGAGCGCGGATGGGAGTTCAAGTCCCCACTCTCCCGCTTACTGGCTCTGAGACTGGACAAGCATTTCCCCTCTTGGGCCTCAGTTTCCCCATCTGTGTCATGAGGATTATGCTACAGGGCTGCTGGGGGAAAGAAATGGGATGGAGGAGGTGAGTGTGCTTACCACGAAGACTGCACACCTGTGAGGGCTGAACCTGAGTGTGAGTGGGATGCTGGGGGTGGCCCAGACAGCCCAGCCCTAAGCCTGCGTCCATGGATCTGGCCGGTACCCCATCCCACCCTGCCACATCTCAGGGGAAGCTACAGCTCACCAGGGCCTCAAGCTTCTCGGTGAGGTCCTTGTTGACCTGATCCTTCTCCAGATTCTGCTTCTGAAGACGCTCCACTGCCAAGCCCAGCTCTGTCACTCTGGAGTTGGGGGAGCAACAGAGGTGAATAGGGGACCACCCCTGCCTCTCAAATCCAGTAGCTCTGTGTCCACCATGCTTCTCCAAACCCGAGGCAGGGACCCTAACATCCACCTCCCTGGCTGTGTGACCTTAGGCAAGTCCCGGCTCCTCTCCAGACCTCACGCTTCTCATCTGTGAAACGGGAATGAGGTTCCCACCAGCTTTATCTCATGGGAAAGCACTTGAGGACGTGTCCAGGTGGCAGGAGTAAGGGGCACAAGTTCTTTTTTTTTGTTTTTTTTGAGACAGAGTTTCCCTCTGTCATCCAGGCTGGAATACAGTGATGTGATCTTGGCTCACTGCAACGTCCACATTCTGGGTCCAAGCGATTCTCCTGCCTCAGCCTCCCTCATAGCTGGGATTATAGGCACGCGCCACCATGCCCGGCTAGTTTTTGTATTTTAGTAGAGACAGGGTTTCGCCTGTTGGGCAGGCTGGTCTTGAGCTCCTGACCTCAGGTAATCCCCCTACCTTGGCCTCCCAAAGTGCTGGAATTACAGGTGTGAGCCACCACACCCGGCCACAAGTTCTGTCATCAGAGGCTAAGCTGTTTATGATATAAACTGGGCAAGTGCCTTCGGAACCTCAGTGGGGTGCCTGGGAAGACTGGCTGAGCTCACAGAGGAAGGCCCTGTGCCTAGTGAACAGATGCTCCCTTCTCCCCAACCCTCCAGTTTTACCTTCTGCAGGGACGCCTGCCTTGTGCAGCACCCACCAGGTACCCACCTGGCACTGAGGTCAGCCTTGTCCAGGTCGCTCTGCATCTGCTGCTGGGCCAGGTCCTTCTCGCGGAGCACCTTGTCCCGCAGCTGCTCCTCCAGCTGGGCCTGCAGCAGGGCCTGCTTCTCCAGGGCTGCCTCCGTCCGGCTCTCTGCCAGCCGCAGGTCCGTGATCAGTCCCAGGCCTGCCTCCTGGACAGCTCGTGATGTCCGGGCCAGCTCCCCTCCCAGCTGCAGCAGGTCCCTTGGGGAGAGAGCACAGGCTGGCGATGGGATGGGGCTCGCTCCCAACTACAAATTAAAACTATGCTGGGGCCAGGCGTGGTGGCTCACACCTGTAATCCCAGCACTTTCTTTGGGAGGCCAAGACGAGCAGATCGCCTGAGGTCAGGAGTTTGAACCAGCCTGGCCAACATAGTGAAACCCCATCTCTACTAAAAATACAAAAATTGGTGGGGCATGGTGGCACCCGCCTGTAATCCCAGCTACTTGGGAGGCTAAGGCAGAATTGCTTGAACCCAGGACATGGAGACTGCAGTAAGCCGAGATCATGCCACTGCACTCCAGCCTGGACAACACAGCGAGACTGCGTCTCAAAAAAATAAATAAATAAAACAAAAATAAAAATATATTAGGCTGGGTGCGGTGGCATGCACCTGCAGTTTCAGCTATGTGGGAAGCTGAGGCAGGACTGCTTGAGCACAGGAGTTTGAGGCCAGCATGAGAAACATAGTGAGACTCCATCTCAAAAACAAAAGAGGAAGAAAAAGAAAAATACAGCAACAAACCCTACACTGGGATGTCATTTGTCCACTATCAGATTGGGGAAAAAAAAAAAAAAAGGGTCACATAATACACAGGGAGGGGCTTTGGGGTAACAGGCGCTCCCCTACACAGCTGGTATGAGGGTGAGTACAACCACAAGGGAGGGCACTGGGGGAGAGCTCCGAGAACTATGCATGCATAGGACCTTCCCACCAGCTCCTCCTCTAAGAACGTATCCAAAGATATACCCCAGCACAGAGAAGATGGCTTGTGCACAAGGAGGTTCACTGCAGCATTGCTCGTGTAAAAAATCCTGGTGACAACCTGAATATCTATCAAAAGGGGACTGTTACTAAGTACATGATGGTACATCCATTCAGTGGAACACTCTGTGGTCAAAGAAAACCAGTGAAAAAGTTCCTCCCAGTCTGACACAGAGTCACTTCCCAGTTAAAACTGGTAGGTGAGGAAAGCGTCTTCAAGAACTGTGAAGATGAAATTTTACCAGGCATATATACAAAAAAGTGTGTGTGTGTGTGTGTGTGTGTGTGTGAGATCTGCTTTATTTGATTATATAAGATAACCCTGGAAGGTCACTTAAGAAACTGATAGGCCAGGCGCGGTGGCTCACGCCTATAATCCCAGCACTTTGGGAGGCCGAAGCGGGAGGATCACCTGAGGTCAGGAGTTCAAGACCAGCCTGGCCAACATGGCGAACCCCCGCCTCTACTAAAAATACAAAAATTAGTTGGGTGTGGTGGCTCATGCCTGTAATCCCAGCTACTTGGGAGGTGGAGGTGGGAGAATCACTTGAACCTGGGAGATGGAGGTTGCAGTGAGCCAAGATCGTGCCACTGCACTCCAGCCTGGAAGACAGAGGGAGACTCCATCTCGGAAAAAAAAAAAAAAAAGAAAGAAACTGATAATGCATCTCGTGGTAACTTGGTGGCCAAAAGAAAAAAGAAAAAAAGTGTATATATAAAAAGAAAAAGAAGCTGATAATGCTGCTTGCCTCCAAGGAGGGAAGGGGAATATCTGGGGTCAGCGGGGAGAGGGAGCCATTTTACTGTGTACCCTTTTGAAATATGAACCTTGTGAACATGTGACTTAATCAAAAGTAAAATATAAAAATATTAAAAGGCTACTTAAAATTTTTGTTTTTGTTTTTTTTGAGATGGAGTCTCTTTCTGTGGCCACCAAGGTAGGTGGATCACCTGAGATCAAGACCAGCCTGGCCAACATGGTGAAGCCCCCATCTCTACTAAAAATACAAAAGTTAGCTGGGCGTGGTGGCTCACGCCTGTAATCCCAGCTACTCACGAGGCTGCAGCCATAGAATTGCTGAACCCAGGAGGCACAGGTTGTAGTTAGCCAAGATGGCACCACTGCACTCCAGCCTGGGCAACAAAGCGAGACTCCATCTCAAAACAAAAAAAAAAGACAAAGCAACCATTCACATTTTGTGAATATCTATGGATCTGGATTCAAACAAATTGTAAAGAAAACACTACAGCAAGACTATCTGTGAATTTTTTTTTTTTTTTTTGAGACAGTTGCACTCTGTCACCCAGGCTGGAGTGCAGTGGTGTGATCTCAGCTCACTGAAACCTCTGCCTCCTGGGTTCAAGCGAGTCTGGTACCTCAGCCTTCCCAGTAGCTGGGATTACAGGCGTGTGTCATCATGCCTGGATAATTTTTGTATTTTTAGTAGAGATGGGGGTTTCACCACGTTGGCCAGGCTGGTCTCGAATTCCTGACTTCAGGTGATCCGCTCGCCTGGGCCTCCCGAAGTACTGAGATTATAGGCGTGAGCCACTGCACCTGGCCTATCTGTGACATTTATGAGACATATGGAAAATCCAGACACTGGCTATTTGATGGTATTAAGAAAAGATTATTAAACCAGGTGTGTGTAATCCCAGCACTTTGGGAGGTCAAGGCAGGAGGATCACTTGGGCTCAGGAATTCAAGACCAGCCTGGGCAACAAAGTGAGACCTCAACTCTACAAGAAATAAAAAAATCAGCAAGCCTGGTGGCATGCACCTGTGGTCCCAACTGCACAGGACCTGAGGTAGGAGGATTGCTTGAGACCAGGAGGCCGAGGCTGTAGTGAGCCATAAAGAAAAGAAAAGATAAAGAAAAGATTACTAACTAAAATGTTTTTAATGCACTAAATGAAATACCTTGGCCCCCTGCCTTGGGGCTGTCTCCACAGCCTCCCCGACACTACTGTTGAGTGGACTGCTCACACCGATCAGACGCCCCTGTTCAAAGATCAGGCAGGCCCAAGCTCCCCCGCTGAGGCAGGCTCTCCTTTCCCTGTACCAGTGCTTCGTTCAACCCCCCTGGCTGCCATGGGCTCGCACCTCCCTGCCTTTGCTCATGCCTTGCTTCTGCTTGGAGTGCCTGCTGCTCTGCTTCAACCCTACCCATTCCTTGAGGCTCTGAGCAAATTCCATCTCCACAAAGCGGTTTTTCTGACCTCCCCACCCCTCCCATCCTTCTGAGCCTCCAGGACATTCCCTCTGTCCCATGTACATATCACTGACCACTCGCTTCCTTAGTCTAGAATTTTGGGGATCTACGTCTGTTCACCACTAGAGGCTGTGAGGTCCTTGGTAGCAAAGCTGAATATTCTAGTGGATTAAAATCAGGAACTTTGGCCTGGTGCAGTGGCTCATGCCTATAATCCCAGCACTTTGGGAGGCTGAGGCTGGTGGATTGCCTGAGCTCAGGAGTTCGAGACCAGCCTGGGCAACATGGTAAAACCCCGTCTCTACTAAAAGACAAAAAAAAATTAGTCAGGCGTGGCGGCATGCCCGTTATCCCAGCAACTCAGGAGGCTAAGGCAGGAGAATTCCTTGAACCCAGGAGGTAAGAAGTTGCAGTGATCCAAGATCGTGCCACTGCACTCCAGCCTGGTGACAGAGCGAGACCCCGTTTAAAAAAAAGAAAAATCAGGAACTTCAAACTCTGACTCAGCCACTTATGTACTACTGTGTGACCTCAGGAAGATCACTCAACCTCTCTGTGCCTCAATGTCCTCACCTGTAAAATGGGAACACAGTTCCTACTTCACAGGGAAGCTATGAATATTAGTTGAAATGAAATATACAAAGAGTCTAGCTCAGAGTAAACATCTAATAAATGCTGACTGCCATGACTATGGTAATGGTTATTACAAGTTGCCTCTGTGTCCTCACACGCCCTTGTGCACAGTAGGTGCATTGAGTTGAACTGAAATTCAACTGAGTTGAGTTGGATGTAAAGAGCAGGGCTGGCTCTCAGCTGCTGCCCCGTCCCCGGCCAGGCCTCACCTCTCGGTGAACATCTTCACCTCGCTGACCAGCCGCCGGAACCCCACTACCTGCCTCCAGAGGAGGAGCAGGCGACTGTGCTCGTTGCTGAAGTAGGCGTTGAAAGACTGGAGGGAAGACATGCGGAGAGAAGGGTTGGGGTGAGAGCAGGTTTACTCCCTCCCCCAGCTCGCCCCATCTCCGACCATTCCAGGAGGCACCACCGTTCAAGGGAGCGGGTCTTCCTGTGGGCCCGTGCACAAAGTTGTGTCCCAGCAGCCACGCTCAGCCTCCCAAGCCTCATGGCTCCCTCCTGCACAGGGACCTGGGTTTCAAGTCCTCTTTTGGCTGCAAGAGGCAGCAAGGAAGGGAAAAAATGCCAAGGACCTAGCTTTGCCTCGCAGCTGCCAGTTGCATGACTGTGGGCAGGTTACTTAACCTCTTTATTTATTTTGAGACAGAGTCTTGCTCTGTTGCCCAGGATGCAGTGCAGTGGCATGATCTCTTAGCCTCCTGAATAGCTAGGATTACAGGTGTGTGCCACCACGCCCGGCTATTTTTTGTATTTTTAGTAGAGACGGGGTTTCACCATGTTGGCCAGCCTGGTCTCAAACTCCTGACCTCAGGTGATCCACCTGCCTCAGCCCCCCAAAGTGCTGGGATTACAGGCGTGAGCCACAGCAACCGGCCTTAACCTCTCTTTAAAATCAGGAGAATGATACCACATGCTGTTATTACAAGGAATAAAGGTCAATGCACACCGTGCACATGGTACATGCTACGCATTGATAAAGACCAGTTATTGTGATGACGGCTATTTACTTCTGCTAACACGCTCCCTTGGACAGTGCTCCCTCTCCAGTGCACCTTCCCCTTGGGTCAAGCTGGCCTCCCTGCACCCCCATGCCCACCTCCTCCTCACGCCTCCATGCTGCCTCCCGCTGCTCCAGCTCCTTGCGGCTGCGTGCCCAGTCGCTGGTCACCTTTCGTATGTCCTCACTCAGAGCTTGGTTGGCCGAGCCTGCCTGGTCAAGCTGTTCTCGGAGCATGGCATTCACCTGGGCCAGACTGGCACTCCTGAATGGGGCACAGGGGATCAGCAGGCACTCGCCCAGGGGGCCATCCTGCCAGCCCTGGCCCTCCCTGCTGCACCCTCACCTCTGCTGCTCCTCCTCCAGCCGAATGAGGGCGCTCTCCAGGTCTTGGCTGTGTTCTGTGTTCTAGGTGACAGAAAGGTTAAAGCATCAGGCTGGGCAGGTAGAGGGCAGGGCCTGCCCCTGCCCCACCCTGGCACCCACCCTCACTCGCTGCTGCTCCAGCTCTCCGGATCTCTCCAGCAGCTGCTGCTCCAGCTCCGAGCACCTCTTCTTGTACTGGAGAATCTGGGGATGGGGAGCTGATGGTGAGCCCCAGGGGTTGAGGTAGTGCAAAGTGAACATGTGGGAGGGCAGGAGCAGGAGTGGGTGGCCCTGACCTTGCCCTGCAGCCGCTGCACAAGCTGGGCCTGCCGCTGCTGGCCCTCCTGGTAGGCCTGCAGCTTGCGCCGGTAGGAGGCCTGCTCCTCCTGCAGCTGCCTCCGCAACTCCACGCTCTGCCGTACCAGCCCCCTGGGCTCCTGCATCTCCAGCTCCCCAGACTCCAGCCGCAGAGTCTGCTCCAGCTGCAGGGAAGGGCTGTGGGTGAGAGTCCTGGGCCTCCTGGGAAGGCAGGCTCAGGCCTCTGTAGGGGGCACCAGGCTGGGCCCAGACCCACAATGCCTTGTAGGCTGATAGCCTGGCACCCTGGGGAGCAGGCACATGTGGGCAAGCCCAGGGGCAGTGCACATGTGCAGGGAGTGATGCAGCCATGCACAGACATGCAGATGGGGCATGCATGGACACATGCAGGTGAGCCCACAGACCCAAACCATGCAGGCAAAGCTCAAAGGTACACCTGGGATCAACCTCAGGGGCCTCAGTAAACCATGTGCCTCTCCTCCAGAACACTCAGCCCTGTCGTGGTTTCTGTTTATTACATTGATGCCTGTGTCTCCCCACCACGCCCCCACTCCAATGTGAGCTCAGGAAAGCCTGGATTTTTTGTTCCTCAGTGTATCTTAGTACTAGAATGGTGGCTGTGGTATGCATGGCTCACGCTCAGTAAAATATCTGTTGTGATGGTGAATTAATGGCATGAGCTCATGGGAATATATTCAAAACAGAGGTGTCAATCAACCTATGCATATCTGAGCTTAAAGATATGCACACAATAACACATACAGGCAACCTCAAACATCCCCAGGTGGACACGAATGAACCCCTCAAATATACAACATTAAGATTTGTAAAAGATGCGCACAGATGTTGCCCTGTACAGCGCCTGTATATTAATGCCACCTTCTGGCTGGGTGCAGTGGCTCACGCCTGTAATCCCAGCACTTTGGGAAGCCAAGGTGGGTGGATCACTTGAAGTCAGGGGTTCGAGACCAGTCTGGACAACATGACGAAACCCCATCTCTACTAAAAATACAAAAATTAGCCGGGCGTGGTGACATGCACCTGTAATCCCAGTTACTCAGGAGGCTGAGGCAGGAGAATCGCTTGAATCTGGGAGGCGGAGGTTGCAGTGAGCTGAGATCACGCCACTGCACTCCAGCCTGGGCAACAGAGCAAGACTCCATCTTTGTTTATTTTTATTTTATTTTACTGAGACAGTCTCGCGCTGTCTCCTGGGCTGGAATGCAATGGCGCCATCTCGGCTCACTGCAACCTCTGCCTCCCAGATTCAAGGAATTCTCCTGCCTCAGGCTTCCAAATAGCTGGGACTACAGGTGCGTGCCACCACACCTGGCTAATTTTTTGTATTTTTAGTAGAGATGGGGTTTCACTATGTTGGCCAGGCTGATCTCGAACTCCTGACCTCGTGATCTGCCCTCCTCAGCCTGCCAAAGTGCTGGGATTACAGGCACGAGCCACAGTGTCCGGCCCAAGATTCCGTCTTAAAAAAAGAAAAAAAGGCGCCCTTCGTCCTCACCTCAGGAAAGCCTCTGCTGCTGCCGCCGTTCCTCCACCCCCAGGCAGCTCCCATCCCCTGCATGCTCAGACCCCTGTGGGCTCTGGCTGCCCCTACCAGCCATGGAACCCTCTCAACTCCCTTAAGGCACCTGCTGGCCCCTGATCTTCCCCAGTTGTTGGGGAGAAGGGAGGCGAGAGAGGAGCAGGGCAGTGCGAGAGTGCACAGTGGGTTGGGGGCACCCAGCAGGGACAACTCCCCAGCCCAGCTGACTCTGACACTAGCCCCGCACTCACCATCTGTGGGTGCGGGTTACGCCGTGCACATTCTGTGAAGTGGAGTGCTTTTGTGTGGACTAGTTTTAGGGTCTCACTATGTTGTTTGTGGCTTGTTTTGTGCATCTGTGTGTCTCTGTGTGGGGCCCGTGTCGTGTCCACACTGCATATCTGTGTGAAGCAGGTACTGTTTGCCTCTGGGACACAGAGGGGTTCAGGCCGTTGCCGGGTTCTCCTCCCCTTTCTCCAATGCTCAGAACCAGAGCCAGGACCCTCTCCGCCACACCTCACCCCTTTCCACAAACTTCACCCCGCACAAAACAGCCTTTCAATTGTACTTGCAATTCAAAAGGGAAGGAGGCTGCCACTAAGCCAGAGATGAAAGAAGTTGACTGTCTCCCCTAGCAACCGCTGCCCTCGGACCGCCATTCCATTTACTCTTTCCAGGTTGCTATGGACACAAGGGAGCCCAGGGGTCTGTCCTCTGGAGCCAAGGGAGGCGTGGCCACTCCCTCCTTTCCATTCTCAGCTGTGCCTACACCTGCTTCTCAGGGACAGCAAGAAGGAGGGACCCCCGTAGGGGGCCGGAGGTCCTCTCTCTTGGCTGGGAGGTGGCCTCTGGGAGTTCCTCAGTTTCCCTGCAGGACATGCAGTCAACAGGATACCTGACCCTCCCTCCACTCCCCATGCTGGGGGTGCTGCAGGGTTGGAAAGATCAGAACAATCTTGCTGACTGCCCCCCAACCCAGCCCACCATGCCAGTGAGGGCCACAGGGGCAGGCACTTGCCACCTGTGGCCATGGAGAAAAGGGGGTGGCAGGGAAAGAGAATGTTGCCCAACTGCAGAGCCCTGGACCAAGGGTCTCATCCCAGCACCACCACTGACCTTGGGCCTATCATGCCCCCTCTCCAGGACTGACTTTCCCTATCTGTGATAAGGTGATCTCCAGGCTCTGAAGTTCTCTGGGGACCCCACCCTCCAGGAAAGGCCTTTGCAGTCATTCCTATTCCACCTCTGCCTCCAGGTGGGGCCTCATTCAAACCATGGTGGATAGAGGACAACTGAAGCAGCGGGCGCCCTCTGTGTGCCATTTGGGGCCCCCCTAGCCACAGGAGGGAGCCTTCCACACTAACCCAGACCCCCTGTGCTGCAGTCCCAGCCCCAGCTGCTGTGTCCCAGCACAGGAAGAACCTGTCACCTCCCACCTCTTCCCTTCCCTGCCAACTGGGGGCAGGGCTAGCTTCAGAAGGTGGCATTTAAGAGGCAGGCCCTGGGGGTGTGGCACTGTGCCATGCATGGGCCAAAAGAAAAGGGAGGGCTGGCTCAGGGCCCCATCACCACTGACAATGCAAGACTGGGGCCAGCATGCCCTACACACCCGCTGCAGACCCTGGGAAAACTAGCTCTCCACTGTCCTGATGCAAGGGGCCACTGCAGGCCGCCTACCCGGCTCCTCTACAAGTCCCAACTCGTCGGGGGTTTGTCCAGCCAGACAAATCTCAGGACACGGACACGCCCCACAGTCACACACAGGAACACACACCCTCCTCCCAGTGCGGGCTCCAGCCTGGACAAGCCCAGCTCAGGGGTCCCACGCCAACCCCAGCTCTGCCACTACCACACAGGAGACGCTGGGCCAGCCCCTGCCTCTCTGGGTCCCTTCCAACTTTGCGGGGGCCAGCTGTGCCCTGAAATCCTTAGCCCAGAGTCTCTTCCCGTACGTAGGAAACAAAACTTCAGAACTTTGTTTCTAGACTGGGTTAGTCTAGAAACCAAACAGAGCCCCAGGGCTGCGAGCTGGAAGACCTGGTGTCTAGCCTTAACTGGCTGTGTGCCCCCAGCATGGTGCTTCCCCTCCCTGAGCTTCAGTTTTCTCCTTTGTTAAATGGGCATCATAATGGTCCCGAACTTGGTGTATTAAATGTGAAACACTCAGCACGTGCCTGGCACATACTAGGCACTCAATAAACAGTAGCTACTATTAATATGTTATTGCCACCTGCATGCCTCCCATCTGCACACATACACTCGGTCCCACTTGCAACTCCCTTACCAATCTTCAGCCACCACCAACTTCCCAGGGTCACCTCCCGGCCACCTGGAGGCCCAAAGCAGACAGTGCATCAACAGCATCCCGCACCCCTGGCACCGGCTCACACCCAGCTCCCGCCCCAGGCCGTGGGACCCCCACAAGCCTGCAGCACAGGTGATGTGAATCCTGCCTGGACATGAAGACAGGCCTGCTTCTCCTTCCTTCCCTGCCTGGAACCCATTCCAATAGGCAGTGGCGGCAGGTCTTGTGGCTGCCCCAGATGGCCTGCAGAACACCGCGGGTGGCCACACCAGCCTCCAGCCAGCATCCAGCCACCGCCTCAGCCCCAAGGCCCGTGGCAACGGTAGCACAGGGAGATGCCCAGAAACTCAAAGGGCAGGAATCTCTAGGGATCTCGTTCTCTGTGTCCCGAACCCCTAACAGGCCTGGGACAGATGGGAACAAAATGCCCCTATGCCAGGCACTTTATTCTATTATTTCCTATTATTCACACAACTCCACGTCCCATTACAATCCCCACTACAGAAAACAGGCTTGAAGAATGTAGTGATTTGTTCAATGCCACTCAAGGTGGCAGAGCCTCAATCCAAGCTCAGGCCAACCTGACACCAGGGTCCATCTTTTGCCCCGTGTGTGGGCCTGGTCTAGATGCCTCCATGCCCTCAAACCAGGGGAGCCCTGGCCTAGCCCACCACCTGGGCGGCACCCACCCTCTCGCTGACCGCGTTGTACTTAATGGCGAGTTCATCGCGCTCGGCACGGCTCTGGGCCAGCAGGTCCTCCACGCGGGACAGCTCCTGCTGCAGCAGCTGGTTCTCCTCCTGCAGTGACAGCAGCGATGCCATCTCCGTGGCTGGCAGCGGGACTGGCAAGGGACAGTGGGTATATGGTTGGCTTCTGGGTCCAGTGGGACATCCTCCCCACATGGGGGGGGGGGCGCAAGGAAACCATCCAGGCCCCTGAGATGAGCCCAGGTGGGAATGGCTGCAGCACCAGGCCTGCAAACAGAGCTGAGAACAGGGAGGAAGGCAAGGAGGGGATACAAAGCTGGACATAAAGTGAACACAGCTCCAGCTAAAGTGTGGCCCAGCAGCTTTTGGAGGTGCAGGAGAGAGACTCAGTCTAGGAGCCAGGAGACCCCTGAGTTCTTGCTCCCTCCTTTTCCAATTACTATTCTTCTCTGGGGCCTGTTTTACTTATCTGTAAAATCGGTGGGGCGGGCACGGACTCACGCCTGTAATCCCAGCACTTTGGGACGCGAGATGGGAGGATCACCTGAGGTCAGGAGTTTGAGACTAGCCTGGCCAACATGGCGAAGTCCTGTCTCTACTGAAAATACAAAAATTAGTTGGGCATGGTGGTATATGCCTGTAGTCCTAGCTACTTGGCAGGCTGAGACAGGAGAATCACTTGAACCCGGGAGGCGGAGGTTGCAATGAGCCGAGATTGCACCACTGCACTCCAGCCAGGGTAACACAGCGAGACTCTGTCTCAAAAAAAAAAAGGTAGAATAGTAACCAGATCCTCCCAGAAAAGCATCAAAGCCGCACTCAAGGGAAGAGCTTCAAGGAACTTTAAAGGCTAGGACTCAGGATAGCGTGGGTCAGGTTGTGAGGAGGAGAAGGAGAGAAGAGGGAAAGAAAGGCCAGCGGGAGAAGCGGGGCTGTCCACCTCCTGTGGGTTCCCCTTCTACCCCGGGAGAACTGGACATACGCCCCAGGTGTCAGGGTGAGGGCCCCCTGAGTCTCTCCCTGTCTGGGGCTCCAGGGCACCAGCATCCCTGGTGCTCCCAAGGAGGGAGCCCGTCTGTAGCTTGTCAGTTGAACAGAGACAATGGTTAGAACACCAAAACGCCATCACGGAGAGCTGCCAGCACACCAGCTGCAACTGACTGTGCCCTTCGCAGACCCTCAAGCCACATAACACCACCATGTGTGCCACCGGCTGAGAGAAGCAGGGACCATCCACCTTCCTGCTCACATGGGAAATGCATGGACAGCGCCATCCACTCAGACTTCTGCAAAACCCTGGTCCGAGCTGAGCTGCCCTTTCCCTACATCTTGGGTTCAACCAGCTCACAACTTCCCCGGGTGGGAATATGGGATTTGGGGTTCACATCTTTGCAGCAGGCTACATGCAAGCACGGAGGGGATGCTCAGCCCTTCCTTCTAGTTGCACCACATGCGGAATAAGTCTGGGCAAATTACATCCCTGAGCCTCCGTTTCCTCATCTGTAAAATGGGTTCTTCCATCATAAGGTTGTGCCTGCCCCACAGCGAGTTACAGTCATGATCATCATGGTGACTGCTCAGGAAAGGGACATGCGAAGAGGTAAAATGTGGGTGGTGTCTGTGGAAGGGAGCGGATGGGGGTGGCACCTGGGCTCTCAGGCCGGGAGAGGTTGCGGGTGACAATCTCCCTGATGCGGGCAGGCAGGCTGGTGGTCTGAGCGTCCTGGGCCAGGTCCCGCGTGCCCAAGCCCTTCTCCTGGCACAGGACGCTGCTCTCCAGTGTCTGTGGGAAAAGCGAGAGGGTCTTCAGGGGACCTGGGACCTGGGGCTCCCTGGCCTCGGGGGAAGAGCCAAGTCCTACCGCCCAAGATATGGGTCCTCAGGAGCCCCCGCAAGATGGAGTGTAGCCTGGGAATTAGAATCCAAAAAGTCCCCGTGGAAGGAGCCTCTTGTGCGCTCCCTGCCCCTGGAAGAAGGCCACCCAGGGCCAGAGATGCGAACCAAACCCCACGAGCAACTCCCAAACCCCACTGAGGCAGTCCAGTGTTGGGGGCTCCAATCCGGCTCCAACCCTAGATAGATGAGGATCCGGCTATGCCAGAGGTCCTCTGAATCCCAAAATCTGGAAGTAGGGACCCCCCTTCTCCCAATGCAGGGCACTGGGATACTGGGATGAGGAAGCCACAGCAGGTGCACCCTGTGTGTACCTCTGCCCCCCGTCTTGCCAGGAACTGCAAACGGGGGCCCCTTATGCCCCACCAGCACCACACCCCTCCCACCCCTTGACCCCCAAGACGTACACACCTCTCACCACTCCTGCTAAGTCCACACTACCCCGCCCCAGACAGGGTGGGCACAGCCCCCAGGACCCACCTGGATAACCGTCTCTAGTGTCAGCTCGACCTCCTGTGCCCCCGCCAGCCCCAAGCTCATAGGGGGGAGGCTGTGGGCACTCCTCCAGCCCCCTTTCCCAGGACCCCAAGACTAGCTCAGTCACCACGCGCCACAGCCAGGCTGCTGTGCTGAGCACCAGGCAGATTAAGCTTAAATCCGGCGGCGCCCCCATGTGACCACCGGGGTAGGAGGAGCGGGATGGGGGCTGAGGGGGGAGGGGATGGGAAAGGACAGGAGAGGAGGGAAGCAGAGGCGGGGAGCCGAAGGAAGAGGAAGGATAAAGAGAGGGGAGAAGAAGGGAGAGAAAGGAAGGGAGGAGAGAGAAGAGGGAATGGGGGTTGAAAAGGAGGGGAGGTACCTGGAGGTCAGGACCTCACACACTCTC